TAGGGGATAAGGTTTCAAAGTGGAAAGTGGTGAGACGTCACATTGGTGTCCGTCGTTCACTTGTAATGGAGGGAGTTAGCCTTGGGGAGGGACAGAGATGGAAGGGATTGATTGTTGGAGGTGTCAGAGGTGAGATAATGGAGACAGAAGGACATAAGGTGGACTAGAGAGTAAGAGATGATTTATTTTTATTTTTTTGTATTTTTATTCAAATTTTTAATTTTTAAATGCACTTAAAAACAAAAATTGGTTATGGTGATGGTTCTAGGCTATTGTGGTGGTGGGACCATTTATCTGTATCTATATATATTAAGAAAAATGAGATTTTTAATGAGAAATCTTGTGAGAGCTCAAAAACCTCTAACTAATTTTGTTGATTTTTTAGTTAAAAGACATGAAAAAAAAATTAGGGTGAAACACTAATAAATCTCAAATAGTGATCTTATGAACTATTTAATCCTCTCTTTTTTCTTATGGACCCAAAGGTTCCATTCTAGTATAAATTACATAAAGAGTTAAGTATAAACGCGCGTATGTTATGTGTTAATGGACAAATGTATGTTTTCTCATAATGTTGAAATTACTAAATGAAACACTTAAAAAACAACTCCTTAGTGTACTTTTTTCAAACTCATACTTTTTCCAATCAATGTAATATAGAAAAACTCTTTAGTGTACTTTTTCTAAACGTAACACTCCAATTAATGTAACACAGAAAAACTCCTTAGTGTACTTTTCCCAAATGTAACACTCCAATGTAACACACTAAAAAATTTCTGAGTGTATTTTTTTCCAAACATAACACTCTAATAAATGTAACACACAAAAACTCCTCAGTGTACTTTTTCTAAACATAGCACTCTTATGTAACACTCCAATGTAACACCAAAAAACCATACTAATAGAAATCTAGATTTTCATGCTCAGCAACCAACATTTCAACAACCAATCCCTCCAAAAAGAATCTTTCACACCTCACATTTCCATTCTCATATCAAATTTCCATTCTCATATCAAAAACGAATCAAAAATTTGAAAAAATGAATCACAAAATGGCATTTACTTAAACTCAAATTGCATCAAATCAAATAAATATAACTTTTCATTACAAAAAGGATTAATTGGTTCATAAAAAAACTCTTAGGACTAAATGGATCAATATTCCTGTATATGGAATTTATGGGTAAATTTTCTAAAACATTATTGGCTAATCTATTTAATTAATTATTTGAAAAATAATATTTATTCCTTGATTTTTGATTTCCAAAATGCATGATTTGTTATTTTAAGAAGGAAATATATATTCATACCAATATTATCTCACCAACCTATTCTCTCTTCAATCCAAAATTTTTTAGCTGTAATCATAACGCATCCCATGAAGACACACCTAACATAAATACATTTAAAAAGTATCTGTTTGGTTCCACTCTTGAATCATGATTCCACCATCATATTCCAACCCTCTGTTTGATTATAGCTTTCAAAATATGATTCCAAATTACATTTCAAAACACAGTTGAAAACATGTTTGGTAACCAGAGAGTTTTTGAATTTTTGGTTTATCCGATCGTCCGCCTGAACATCCTCCCAAACTGTTTTTGAATTTTTGGTTTACCCGGTCATCCATCTGGACATCCTCTCGGCCGTTCGGCCAGTCGTTCAGCCAGTTGACCGGAATAGTGCTCTTTTTTTTCTTTTTTTTTTGGCAATTGCCACTTGTTATTTGTAAAGAAAAATTATATTTGTTTTTGATATTTTTTTAAATATAGAAATTATCTTTTTAGACCAAAATGACAAATTATTTGGCCATTTATTTAAAATAAAATAAAATAAAATAAAAATTAATTTGTCACAGTAATTTTTTAAAAAATAAAAAACATTTTTAAACAAAACAATTAAAAATGAGACATTTACACACAAGTCCTAATTTATGAACTTATACTCCATTAAATCCTAACTAAAATTTTTCGGACCTTCAAGTCCCATTAAATTTTTAATAGTCGGAATTGCCCTTCAAACAATGATTATCATCATTTATAATTATCTATAAAGGAACATGATCATTTGACATTTATTTTGATTTTCAAAACTTTAAAATATCAACTTTCAAATTGACAAAACTAAAAAAAGATTGTGTAAAAAAAAATTAATAATAAACTAATGTTATTTTTGAAAAAATTAAAAAAATTCAACTTTTTTTTTTTTGGGTGAAAAACTGAAAAAATTGTGTCTATAAAGGAGCATGATGATGGAACATTGTGCAAAACTTAAAAAAAAAAAAAAAAAAATAAAAATGAAAAAATTGATAATGTTCTCAGTTTTAAAACTGAAAAAATTGATAATGTTCTCGATTTTATTGGAGGTTAAAAAAAAAAAAAAAAAAAAATTAAAAATGAAAAAATTGATAATGTTCTCAGTTTTAAAACTGAAAAAATTGATAATGTTCTCGATTTTATTGGAGGGTTGAATCAAACCAATAAGTAGAAGGGCAAAAATGTTTAATCTCATACTATGTTTTTTTCCATCAGTTAGTGGAACAATTATCTGGAACACTACCATGCAAAATTGATAATGTTCTTAGTTTTTAAAAATTGGGAAAAACTGATAATATTCTCAGTTTTACTGAATATGACTTATTGGTTCAAAAAATCTTAGATATAGGACATGGGCTATCATAACATTTGTAAATAGGACTTTTAGGTAATTAACTCATTTTTTAATTAATAAATCAATCAATCACTTTTTCTCACTCATTTTTCCTCTTTCCTATTTCATTCTCTTACATTCTACACATCCATCAATCAAATTTTCTCTCACACCCCATCTATTCAACCTAAAAAAAAAACAAAACTACAAATTATCCCAAAATTATTTTCAAAACTCATAACCAAATAAATTTTCAATTTTCAAAACTCTTTTCAACAACTTATCTTTCAAAATACAACTCAAAACTCTTTTTAAATGTACGACATAAAGCAAGAGAAAATGACGAAGTGTTTTTGCCATAGACTTGAAAACTAGAACCTCTTAGAATAAAATCAACAATTGTGATCCATGCTCCACATCATAAATAGGTTCACACGTCTTGGCACAAATCTGGTGGTTTGTTAACAAAATATGGCCTAGACTGTCAATAGAGCATTCTACCCTCTTCAATCCTACAGTCTTCCCATGCAAAAATCTGGTAACTTGCCGATTCCAAGAAACTAGTCATGTGGCATGGACCCAAACTTAATCCCTAGATTAGCCAATGTCTAAAAACATGCCATCCATGAAGAGATCCCACCCAATAAATCATTGTTCAACCATACCAAACTATGGTGTTTTTGTTTTGGCACAAAAAGTGGGGATGAGAGCCCTCAAAAAATACTGAGGCTTCAAGCCATTACCCTGGCACAAATGAAGCAGAGGAACAAGATCAACAACTCTAAGACAAATTATATAGCATTACTAGCTCAGATTCTTTCCTTCCTCTCTAATTTTTTTCTTCTTTTGTATCAAAACTAGCCATAACTAGAGCCATTCTACCATCATACCACCATTATGACTTCACACATGAGCGTTACATTGATTACAGTCTATGTCTACTATGGTAGACTATCAAGTGTACAACCTTGGCACAATTTTCATTTATCAACCATTATGTTACATGATGGTAACTATTTTACAATCTTGGTCTCCAAGACCTTGGACGAAGGCACACATAGGCCAAAGGGGGCCATGGCCACCCCAACCGTTGATGCATAGAATTTCCCCCTCCCCTCCTCCTTTCAAGCAGAGTAGCAACCAACATGCACTACAACAATTAACACTTTTAGCAACAAAAAAATTGGTCGCTAAAAGTCTATTTTTGGTCGGCAAAAGTTATCCGCGACCAATTTTTTTAGTCGCTAGTTTGGTCGCCAATTGAGGGTCGGCAAAAGTAATTCGCGACCAAAATTGTGGTTGGTCGCAGGAAAATAATACACCTGTAATATTTAGCGAATTCATAATCAAAATAGGACGAATTCATAATCAAAACAGGTCTTATTATAAAATTTTCTATATCCAAGTTTCAACACATAACTCAGCAGTAGCAATATTGATTCCAAAAACAAGGAACAATTCACAAAACCCTATTCTAAACCCCAAAAAACAAAAAACAATTCATTCCAACAAAAATTTAACATAATCAGCATCAATTTCAAAAAAAAAGAACATCTGGTGTTAACAAGGTTGAGTATTGTTGTTCTTTTTTATGTAGGGCATCCAGCTCCTTTTTGGCCTCTGCAAATCTCTCTTTGTCGTACGCGTCAACAAGGTAAACTACAGAATCTACCTGCATGATGATCAAAAATTATATACTATTTGTGAACAAAATTCAATAAGCGCTGTCATATAAATGAGCTGTGATTTGTCCTTTTCGTGCCTTGACAGTGAAAAAAACTAACAGCAATAACAATAACAGGATGGAAAATTAAATCGCTTTGGTCGTGTAATCAATTATACATTGATGAAAACACTGAAGGTCAAATAAAAATCATTCACCAAAACTTAACATGCTTTACTTACAACATTTGCAGATTCATCATTTTCCAAATATATTTCGGGATTTCACCAGACATGTTGCAGTTTCTCAAAACCCTAAATACGAAAAAAATTAATAAAATTAAACTCAGGATGAAACTCACCTGTACACACTATAAATATTGAACATTATAAATTATATAATCATCAAACATACAATCTTACTAGCCCTGTAGTATTGCTCAAGGTAGGAAATTCCTAAGCCATCCCATTTTGGATACAATCTTATTTTGGATGTCGCGACTAATAAATTGGTCGTCAAAGCAGGAAAACAATACACCTGTAATTCCTAATAATTCATTCAATCCATAATAAACCTATAATTTTAATGCATCATTTAAATTAACTTAATCATTAACATTCGACACAATACATAATTCATTAACATTCGACACAATACAACTATTCTAAGTTTTTATTCACAAGTCACATATATCTAGCATAACAATTTGAAACATAGCTTGATGAAACCCAATTAAATATTTGCAATAACATTGCAGAGCTCGTGCATAAAGAACGGCAGTGTCAGCTGGTGTTGGTTTGGAGAGAAGCTAACAGATGCACAAATCTATTGGCCAAGGAAGCTATTTCCTCATCTATCAATCAGGTCGTAAATACTGAGATAACAACCCCTCTTTTAGTTGTTTTTGTTTCCCTTTTTTTTTTGGCTCCGGCCATCCAATATCTAAAAAAAATTCTCAATCTTGAGTTGAACAGTTCCTTTTCTCCTTCAAATATCCTCATCACAAAATGCGAGGAAAAACAAGGTTTAATAGTTTTGGTCAGTGTCCTACAATGCTTTTAATTGTTCCACAACTAAGTATATAATAAATGAATTTTATTTTTATTTTTTTAACTTTCCTACAAATAAGGAATCAAAAAACAGTCCAGTTGTATGTTATCTAGATTGCAATCTGGACAGCACATCCAGCAAAAGGGAAAAAACAATGTTCTTTAAAAGCGTCATACCTGTTGAGGGTACTGCGCGTAACCAGGGTATGCACCATATGCATATAATGAAGGATCATGTGTAGTCCCATAACCATAGGCATCATAACCTTGTCCGTAACCATAATAGGTGCTGCTCCATTGACTTGGATTTGCTTGCTGACTCCAAACACCAGGTAATTCCTACAACATAGTATTAAAAAATTGTGTAGTAATTAGCATTAACTGAATATTCTTTTAGAAACCAGAAACATCATTTGGCAAAAAGTAAGAGTCTTTTCAATTACACCTCATTACATACCAATCATGACTGCCAAACAACAGTCAAATCATGAAGATGTCAATACCTTTATGAAAATCATGAACCTTAATAATGTCCTTTCTGGCTTTGACATAGAGCATCAAATTTAAAGCAACAGTAGGAAAGGATAAATTGTAGATTATAGGTGATGTTGTGCCTGCTCTGATCTATACTTACTACACTACGCAATTACTGGTCTATACATTGATTTTCAAAAAGTCTTTGATGCCATGTTTGAAGCCTCATCCCACCCATCCTGTACATCAAAATTTGGAAAGAAAACCAACCCAATCAAGCACTCCTCATCCCGTACAGCCCAACCTCAGTCAAACTCCTAGATTTCACACTAGCGAGAATAAAAGATGAAACTTTGCTCAACTGACATAGGAGCCTACAGGCATGAGTAACTTATTCTTTTAATCAACATTATTTTCAAAGAGTTTCTGTTTTATTGTCCTTGTGGATTCAAGGTTGTTCCTATGGATTCAATAAATCACATCTAATCTAAAATGATATCAAGCCCATGTTGTCTACTAGAACAATAATTAGTTCCTTCCTCCATTACCACTGTGTCAATTGGTGTCAGAACGAGGTCTTCCCCGAGGGGCAGTTCATAACCATGGTTGCCTTCGGACAGGTCGTAACCCAAGCTCGTGGACTTTTCTTATCATCAAGATTATAGAGATCATGAAAATTTACCTAAATTTAGTGGTGGTGAATATTTTAAGATATTCTAGATTGGATACTAGATATATATATATATATTGAAAATATGAAAATTCCAAACAAATAAAAGTAGAGGTTTGTGTTATTAAAGCTTACAGGTCCTGCACTTTGGTGATAGTTAGATTTGCAATCATCAAGAGAGCAACAAGGCAAGGTGCGTATTCGTTCATGGTCAAGAATGAAAAGGCATATAATGGAGATTTTTTTGCCATGGAATTATGAGCAATTATTGGAGGAAAAATACAAGCCTAAGCACCATACTATTAATACTTATGTCGAAACTATCCTTGAAGGGCTCACGTTTGAAGACAAATCTATATTGTCTCGTGTCCAAGAAATAAATGAAGAAAAAGTCTTGAAAGTATACCAAGAAAAAATCCAAGACATTATTGCAAAAGTTGGAAGTCTTGTTACAGAAAGTGAAGATTCGTCAAACAAAAAAAAAAATTGTCAAATTGCAAGATGAGATCAAATTATGTAGTTCAAATTATTCACCAACTGATGGCTTAACTTAATAACAGAGGAAAATCGGAGGGCTACCACAGCGCAGAAGTTTGTTCTTGTATTATTGGGCAGTGCAATTAAAAACAAAGGTGTGCAACCACTTTTTGACTATGCTCTTAGTTATTTTCCTTGTCCTACTAAAGTGTACGACCTTGACCGAACTAATGAAAAGAAGGGTTTTTAAGAAGATGCCAAAATTCCTTGCTTAAGTAATTTAAGAATTCAAGGAATTGTTATTTCCTAAAAGAACTAAGAGAGAATGCACATAGATGGGAGCAAGTATCCTTTATGTGACATATGCATTCAACAATCATCCCAAGAGGAGTTACACTTTTCCAAAGTCAAGTATGTGAAAAGATTATCCTTAACTATAAGATAGATGCAGACAAGCTCAAACGTATGAAGTTTCGATTCATAGTAAATCAAGGGTGAGGTTTTTTTTTCCTAAAGGGAGAGAATGATGTAAAACAAGAGTTTCAAAAAATTGTATAGTAATTAGCATTAACTGAATATTCTAGAAAAGGATCTTCCTTTGACCTGGTTTTAGGCCATCAACCATTGAAGGAATTGACCGTTGAAGATCTGCCATAGAAAACAATATAAGCTCTTTGTTGACAAAATCACTGTACTTGATGACCTTCTCCTTCTGATCAAGGTAAGTGCCAGGCTGCAAATCACATAGACAAAGAAAGTGTTATTAGAAAAAGAACAATTACAGAACACCTTAGATTTTATGGAAGAAAGAAATTTAACTTCCAACCTCAAACTGTCGGAGCCAATTCTTCCTTGCTTCAATTTTCTTCTTACTGAAGGCAAGCTCAATTGCTTCCCCATCTTGCTCATGATCACCCATTTCTGTTGTATAAAGAGTTAATTGTACCACACATGGCTTTTACTTTTGGTTACATCCTTTTAACTCCTAACCCTTAAAATCCACTCAACAGATTCTCTCCTTGCCACCATTAACTTTTGGTTACAGCCACAATGCATGCTTATTTGCAAGTCATCCATTTTATACCCATGAATAATGGCCTAAATGAGTTTCGCATTGTTGCAACAAAAAAAAAAAAAAGTGCAGAACATGGTTCTGCAGCAAATCTAATCACCTAACTAATATTCCAAGCAACCAAAAACAGATGGTCAAAATCTAAGAATTTAATTAGAGGAAAAAAATGCAAATTAATATGAGCAATATTGAATTGAGGACCCGAAATTCCCTATTGATGGGTGATGCAAAAAACTATTGAAACTATATCCTATAAATAATGTTTGAGTGAAACACATTCTGTTCTATAATCAATGTTTTAAAAACCAGAATGGAGTTTAAAGCCTTTCAATAAGTGGAGATGGCAGTAGACTTGAAGAATTATTTACTAGTCAAAGAAAACAAAATAAAAAACAGAGTGAAGTAAATTAGCATTTCCTTAAATGGATCTTGTGGCACCAATAGGGCTATGAACAGTGCACTAGATCAAGGTCATCATAATTTGTCTTCAAATTATTTCTCATCTTTTTTGCTAATTATGTTTGTTAATAGGCATTTTGATATCAGCATGATGCCCCAAGTCAACCCAGTTGCTTGGGTGGTTGGACAACTAAAGGATTGGTAGACAGTTTGGGTTGAATGCATTGGCAACTAAGCAACATTTTATTACACAGCAATAGCATTGACTTCAAGCAAATACAAACATAAATTATTGTAACCACATCATGTTTGCCTATATAAATGCCATTTGAACAATTTTGTAAAACAATTAAAACTCAAATGAGACATGACCAAATAATTGAGAAAAGTCAGAGTTTGAAAACTGCATGTACCAACTTAAAATTTTCACTTTTAAGATACGCACGTGTAAAGATTGTAAAGTCTGTACTTATCCAAAAAAAAAAAAAGTGGTCCACGACCACAAAATAGTGGCCTACAAGACCTCTCCTTCCCTCAGGCAAGGAAAATAGGGCTTGGTCCGCAAGCCAAGCTGAAACACAAAGAGTTCAGAGGCCCAGAGGCAAGGCACTCAGCTGAAAACTCCGAAACCTCGAAACGAGCACAGCATGCGCAATCACCGAGTGCTCAATCGATGACGTCTGAGTCTTAGGGTCGGTCAAAAATGGGGTGTCTACAAATGTTAATTGAACACATGGAGACTTAGGTCATTTCATACTTGTTAATGATGAAGTGATTCAAGTTTCCAAGGTTAACCACTTCTCCTGATCAATCTATGATAGGAAGGAGGCTTTGTTGGTCTTTCCATAGTATTTATTGAAATTTTTATCCCTTGGTTCATAAGTCATCACGTAATGAAATTGCACCGATTGATGGCTTGCAAATCGAGCTTACCACTCATTTGAGCTGTTTGATGATAAGGAGGGGTAGGGTGTACAAACATCCCCTGAGGATGCTCTATTTGTGCTCTGTTGCTGCTGGGAAAATCCAATATCAGTGGCCGGTAGGCCACCTTTTCTGGTTAGTAAGCCACTTTTTTTGGATGGCAGGCTACTAGCCACTACTTCCGGGCTGCCAGCCACTTTTGTCAACCAAGCAGTGTACTTTTTTTTAGCAGAGTAGAGTAGAGATTGAGGTCGAAAAGCAGTGCAATTTTCTAATTGTACCGCAGAGGCATTCCGGTAGTGAAACGAAGAGCATTTTCGAGCAGAAATCCACATCCATGCATGAACCATCCCTCGACTCTCAGGATCTGTTGAGATACATGTTGTACTATTAGTATGTTGTACTTAACGTAGTGGACTTCTAACTAATTAGTTAAATTAGTTAAAGTAGCTAGTTATGTGTTGTAATTATTTAATTAGCTATAACAGTTAATCAATTTGTGGTGTAGTAATAATTAGCTAGTATAGTTAATTTAATTCATTTCGGTTTGTAATAGCTAGTTAATTCGCTTAATTAACTATGGCTATTGCGCGATGGCAAACTTGTAATAATGTGTATGCCTTCCAACCCCACATCTTCTCCCTTTTATTTACTTACTTATGATGGATAACTTAGAACACTGTAACGTGCCCGAGGGTACACGTGTGCGTCAAACAATTCGAACCCTCGATTTCTTTGATCTAGTCTCACGAGTGCAATGTGAAACATAGATGAGAGTCTAGATTTGGCAAGTTTTATTGAAAATCCGTTTTATTGCAATCTTGCCAAAAATGGATTATGTCATCAGATCTCAGAGTCGCCACCTAATATTTATTTTTAGAAAATTAGGAAACCCACGACTCGTGCCAAGGCCACTGTTCGTCATAACCAAGGATGCTTGGCTTGGAACCTTAAGTTTGAAAGGGGAAGGTCATTAATTGAACACCCCCGCTCACTCGATCAAAAGACTGGCATTTACAAAACCATGATATGAATTTTATTTTCTTTATATGTTCATGTTCTAATTATTTAATAAATCCTAAAATTTACTATGTGAAGCATACAAGTATAAACTATGTCATTCATTTTGGAACAACTTGATTTCATGTATTTTGAAAGAGTTTTGAAGATGTACAACCCAAATAAATTGAGTTTACAAACATGAAAAATCAACATCATTCCAATTTAAGTGACACAACCTCCATCCACTAGCATTTATACAGTTGTATCAAGTAAGCAAATAGCCACATGGTAGGATGCTAAACATAATAAGAAAATTATGTACAAGCGGGATGCTAAAGCATAATAACATACATTTTTAACATCACAAGAACAGCTACAAAACAAAGTTAGTAAAAAAATATACTTGATCCTATATACAAAATCCTAACGCAATATATACACAAGAATGCTTTTAAAGATCCGACTTCTAAAACATGACATGTGAAACATTGCAAAACATGTTACAGCGTATAAAATCATGTAATAATCAATTAAAGCACAAAGATGCAAATTTTAGCCAGATCTAAGCATGAATCATGTATATAAAAGCATGGATACGCATGATATGTAAGATATATACATATGTACAGTCAGGGAAAGCGATTAGAGAATGAGATATATAAGAAGTGGGGATGGAAAATTATTACAACACTTGAATTATTACATATCCAAATAAAAGAGGAAGAAAACAAATTTTACAGCAAAATATAAAAATCCTCACAAACTCTCAAAATGAAAATAAAATAAAAAAACTTCATGTGCTTTGGGGATCATCGAAAAATATTTTGCTTGACGCAGGAAGGCTGCTTTGTTCTATCTGGGGAAACTTACTTTGCGGAGCACTACTCATCCCGGGACACTATTCATCGCCGACAGTACTATTCACCATGACAATTACTATTCACCCTTCTTAGTCATTATCCATCTTACTAGACATTTTTCATCTACAGTTACCATTCATCGCCGGAGGCACTATTCATCATCGGGGCTACTATTCACCGCCGGAAGTTACTATTCACCACCAATCATTATTCTTCTAATGGGGTCAGATCTTTAACAAATTCGGCAGTTTCACCGACCATATAAAGTGATAAAATTACAACAATTTATATATAAATAATAAATTATAATATTTTATTTGAAACAATAAATTACAGCAGTTTATATACAACGATATATAATATGACAAGAAATCAAAGCAAAAGAGCAAAATAAATGGAAAAAAAAAAAGAAAAGACAATGGGTTCAATATGACGTCTGATTGAACCCAACTCAATTTTATTATCTTGTGCCTCTTTTAGTCCAATTTTATTAGCACTTTTAATTACCTTGCCATTCTTTAGTCATTTTAGTCCAAAAATGAGAGTTATGTCCACTAAAATAAGAGAAGCATCAAACAATGAGTTGTTCTTGGCATGAGAGAGATGTAATGCCCTGGTAATGAACCTTTGAAGAGATTAAACCATTTAGAATGGAAGAGCTCTTTCTCATGCTAAAAACAACATATATAGGATTGCAATTCACCACTTTCAATTAGATCACAGCAATATACAATATAACAATAAATCAAAGAGAAAGAGCAAAATAAATAAGAAATGCAAGAAAATGAAAGGTTTGTAAAATTCATCTTCCAAGGAAAGCATGAACTCTTTAGTTCACAAACTCCCTCTTGATCACCCTCAAGTGTAAGAAGTGTGTTCTTAAATCCTCAATTCAAAATTATAGAGTTTATGGTATGGAAAGTGGCTAACTTTTTAATTTTTCTCACTTTCAATCACTAAACACTTTTCCTTATGATCAAGGAAATTGATCTTTGGCTATATTCACTACAACAAAAAAGGATTTTTACGACGCGCAATGCATGTCGTAAAAACCCTTCTACGACATGCAGCGCGTGTCATATTATGACCAGTTATGAAAAGTCATTCACTTTCAACGACATGCTTCATACGTCGTTAAAAACTATTTAACAGCAGATTTTGTACGTCGTTATTACTTTTTCTACAACATGCTATAATACGTCGTTAAAAACTATTTAACGTCAAATTTTGTGCGTCGTCGTTACTTTTTCTACGGCATGCTATAGTACGCTGTTAAAAGCTATTTAACGGCAAATTTTGTACGTTGTTGTTACTTTTTCTACGACTACTTTTGCACGCCGTTAATTGGTGAGACAAATAATGACGCTGATTACGCGCTGTAAAATATGTAATACAACGACTTATTATGTTTGCCGTAGAATATACAATTTTTTTTTTTAAATTCAACAAGTTCTATTTGACCAATTTTATACAATCTAACAAATATTACAAACAAGCATCACAAAATATCAATCAACCACCAAAATATTGTTTGAAATATCAAAAAGAAACTATATCCATAATATCTTAGCTTCAAACACAAACTTTGATTCCTCCACCTAATCACAACACAAAGAAATAAATCAATGACAACCTCATTCCTAAGCTTCCAAACTGACCATAAAACAGCAAATAGAATGGAATTCTAAATTTTCCTCTCCAGTTTTGACAGATTTACACCGGCCCACCATTGGAGTAAGTCATTAACAGAGCCTGGTAATGCCCAAACTAAACCCCACCATCTAATAACATGTGGCCAAACAAACAGATAGTGCAATAACACATGATCATCATATTCCACCTCAGTCTTGCAGAAAACAGAAAGAACAATAGCATTATTATTAAGAGCTCCAATCCTTTGAAGATAACTAGATGATTTGATCCTCCTTCTCCATGCCAACCACCCAAAGAATTGAGCTTTGGGAGGGGCAACATTTTTTTCAAATAGAGGCAGTAATTCTACAAATAGGGCCTAAGGACAATTCAAACCAATGATAGGCTAAGGAGACAAAATCTATTTGACTAGCCAGTTGACCACCTTAAATTCTCAAAACTGTTGTCTCTAATAGCAGGTGCAGTAAGTAGAGCATCATTTAATCTCATTATTTCCTTCACCTCCCATTGAAACAGAGTTCTAAAATCTAAGGTCCAAGCCCTCATGATCACCCATTTCTGTTGTATAAAGAGTTAACTGTACCACACATGGCTTTTACTTTTGTTTACATTCTTTTAAATCCTAAACCTTAAAATCCACTCAACAGATTCTCTCTTTGCCACCATTAACGTTTGGTTACAACCACAATGCATGCTTATTTGCAAGTCATCCATTTTATACCCCCATGAATAATAGCCTAAATGAGTTTCGCATTGTTGCAAAAAAAAAAAAAATAGAGTGCAGAACATGGTTCTGCAGCAAATCTAATCACCTAACTAATATTCCAAGCAACCAAAAACAGATGGTCAAAATCTAAGAATTTAATTAGAGGAAAAAAATGCAAATTAATATGAGCGATATTGAATTGAGGACCCGATATTCCCTATTGATGGGTGATGCAAAAAACTCTTAAAACTATATCCTATAAATAATGTTTGAGTGAAACACATTCTGTTCTATAATCAATGTTTTAAAAAACAGAATGGAGTTTAAAGCCTTTCAATAAGTGGAGATGGCAGTAGACTTGAAGAATTATTTACTTGTCAAAGAAAACAAAATAAAAAACAGAGTGAAGTAAATTAGCATTTCCTTAAATTGATCTTGTGGCACCAACAGGGCTATGAACAGTGCACTAGATCAAGGTCATCATAATTTGTCTTCAAATTATTTCTCATCTTTTTTGCTAATTATGTTTGTTAATAGGCATTTTGATATCAGCATGATGCCCCAAGTCAACCCAGTTGCTTGGGTGGTTGGACAACTAAAGGATTGGTAGACAGTTTGGGTTGAAAGCATTGGCAAGTAAGCAACATTTTATTACACAGCAATAGCATTGACTTCAAGCAAATACAAACATAAATTATTGCAACCACATCATGTTTGCCTATATAAATGCCATTTGAACAATTTTGTAAAACAATTAAAACTCAAATGAGACATGACCAAATAATTGAGAAAAGTCAGAGTTTGAAAACTGTATGTACCAACTTAAACTTTTCACTTTTAAGATACACACGAGTAAAGATTCTAAAGTCTGTACTTATCCAAAAAAAACAAAAACAAAGAGAAGAAGATTGTAAAGTCTGTTTATTTTCCCCTTTTAAAGTTCTATATGCTATCAAATTTCAACCTATAAAATATAAAGTTCTATTAAACTTAAAATTTCAGCTAAAAAAATCTTGTTTAAAAATTTACCAACCTTAATTTAAAATCTAAAGAGTTGATATTGTATAATTCTTATCACAAGTACAAAAGGCAACTAACTTCTTATAAACCAGTGTAGCAAACAACTTACATCTAAAGGAAAGTATTGTAAGCATGTGAAGTAGTCAACTTACAACTAAATGAAAGTATGTTCTGTGGAATAACTTTTTAGTTAGCAAAGGTTAGAACAACAATTTATGAATTAAAATATTACAACTATATGACAGTTTGAAGATTACCTGAGTTGCATCCCATAAGATACTTTTTGGAGTCACAGGAAGCTCTTTCTTATTCTTCGATGGAAGAGGGGGACCATCATTAGCGGTCTCCTACTGCAACCAAGGCAGAATAACACCATCCATTTCAATAGGAAGAGAATTAGATCCTGTTGTATTGTAAATTGTTTCTGTTTCCCTAGAATGTGACACTGCATTTCTAGTCTTTGTTACTCCTAAAGTCAAACTTGCATCACTCCTTTCTCCATCAAATAAAGAAATATCTATATCTTCAACATTTGAAATGAAGTCGTCAAAATATTTCTTTGCTTCTTCAGTCAATCGTTTAGACACCTTATTTCTGTCATTACTCCTCTAGCAAATTGTAGAAGCATTGAAGTTAATAGAACACTTTATCATCACTGCTCTCAACATGGACTAAAGACAGATCCTGCAGTTTACACATGGAGATTGAGAACCATACCTTTCAGGCCCGGGATGGTTTATCCACAATTGTAGAGCTCTTAGTATTAGGAAGCAATTCTGTCACAATTTTAGACACACACACACACAAACACACACACACACACACATACACACACACAGATTTGTAGGGTTTCTCTTAAATGGCGGTTTGTGGCTGCGTTTATATACCGGCTGCTAAAATTTTATAACTAGTTTTACAATCACAAATAGTCCCAGTTGACAAGGCACCATACATAAAGATGAACAAATGGAACAAAGAAGAATCAGAAAGGTAAAAGCCTCTATTTCACAAGAAATAAATTATGCATCCTTATCCACTACTAGAAAAAACAGACAAGCTTCACTATTTAATCAAACAGAAACCCCACTCTTATATCTTCAAACTTCTTATACCTTTAATAATGAACCAGAAATCATATATTATGTTTAAAGTCATTTGTCAAAAACATATCTCTAACACAGCACTATACAATTGTGATCATGTATCAAAATTTTACAATTAGAAAAACTAATTTATTTTTCCATCATCCAATAAAAAGAGAGTTTTTATCTGTTCAAGTGTCCTAGACTTATAGTCAAATAAGCAATTTTACGGCATTAGCTTTTTTAGACGCTATTAATTTAAGAAGTTAGTGCTCAAATCAGTGGCATGGCATAATGATAATACCTATAATAATGGATAGAACATTAACGTAGCAATAATATAGTAGTAGTAGTATTATATAATAATTAAATAACATGAACACAATATTATGTGATGTTACTATATTGTATATATTAATTAACTAACAGTTATTATAAAGAAATAAATAGACTTTGTTATGCATGACGATGTTGGTGTTTCCCCTAAACCCAAGACTTTTTTCTTCTTTTTTTTTTTTTTGTTTTGGGTGAATAAATCATAAATTAAAACAGGAAAAAATACAAGATTACAAGGGGGCATGCCCCAAGCCCAAACATGACAAAACAACCCAGCAAAAATAAATAAATAAAAATGACAAAACCAACAGAAGAAAATAAAACCAACTAAAACCCAACAAACAAAAACAGCCCCTATAAAAATGGCCACAGTACATGTGAGGCAATAGCTGCAGAAACAGCGATACACACTCACAAACAACACGTAGACAGTTGCTAAACAGCCAGCAAAACAGAGCTAGCAGCAGCAAGGCAGAATCAACAGCAGCAAGGCAGAGACACACACTCACACACGGCACCTGGGAAGCTACTCATAGAAGCTAAACTAAAGCATACACATCACAATCCTGTAGAATTTATAGACAGTAATAGCAGGCAGACACGACACCTGGACAGTAACAGCTCCATTCTTTATAAAGAAACAGAGCATCACAACCACCTACAATACTTGTGTTTACTCTTTTCTGCTGAAAACAGTGTAGTTATTTAAATAAAAAATAAGAAAAAAATGATAATGACTAGTATTGTTTACTCCATCTGATAGAATTATAATTTCACCCATGTATTAATTAAAAGTAAAAACTAATTAATGCCTAAGATAAAAACTTGCTCATAGATGACATTTCATCTTTAAAAACAAATAAAGATTAGCATTTCATGCAATAGTTAAAGAATTAAATATTATCTTTTATTTTATTTTTATTAAAGTATTTAAACAGGATAAACAGTATATAAACTTTATAAATGGAACCATTTAAGTGTAGTGAGATAAAATGCAAAATGGCCAAGACTATGTAAGGAATATTTGGTTATTTGAAAAAAAATAAAAATAAATGGGTAATTCCATGAGTTAAATAACTTTGGCCAAACATTAAATATTAAGAGGTCACATATATATGATTTCAAAAAATATGCATGGCAACAAGTAGCAACAAAAGTAGCAACAAAAGTAGCAAAACAATTGTAAGCATTAGGAAGTAACAAAACAAAAGCTAAATTATCCATACAAACATTATAATTCATCAAAATTAAAGACAAACTCAGTCTCCAATTTGTCATCATTATAATTGATCAAAATGAAGGGTAAACTCTTAGTTTCTTAGAACTACTGAGAGAGACATACTTGGACAGTTTGTCAATGAGGTCTCACATTCTCAGTTCCACAAGAACTTCCTCTAGGACTGGTCCTTGATTCGTCAACAACATTAACAAATACAATTGGAAGGCTGTTACCTTGAAGTTTTTAAATGATAATTTTTTCAAACTTGGCAAGCAACACCAAATTTCTTTCCATTGTAACTCCTGTGAGAGTGTCTCCTGACAATTGAAACAAAAATTCACTTGAAACCAGCTAAAATTTAAGAAGCAACAATTTGGAAGAGGCTAGAATGGTTGTCTAGATACTCACATATTGACCTGTTGCATCATGATCCATGATCAACATCTGAAGGTTTGGACATCGTTTAAAAAATATAGCAAGACCCACCAAATCAGTTTCAATATAGTTTGTTAGAAATCATAATCATAAAGGTCCCTATCCAAAAATGCACACCACAATTTTTTTTTTTTTAAAAGATTCTATCGAAGCAACACTTATACAGCCAATATACAACACAGTTGCTTCTCAAATCTAAACGAAATTGCTTGTCACTTCAGCAGCATATTGTGCCTTATATTGAAAACCCCTCCCATTTCTTATGCATCTTCTAACCTTTAACTTCATATTTTAGACGTTCAAAATTGAATGTTTAATTTTGAACTTCTAATCAGCAGCATTTACAAGTTAAACCTGAGATCATCAGCTAAACAGTTTGGGCAAATGCAGTGTCCCCTTAGATTTATAATACAAAATTAACACTTTTAAATCAATTCAAGGTTAAAAGGGCAGTTAGGATTACCAGGAGAGCGAAAAGTAGAACAACCAATCCGAACAAATAGTATGCTTAATCTGCAATTAAAATTTGACAAAATTTAGAGCCCTGGCAACAACTTCATGCACATGAACTGTAATACTAATCAATTGAAGGTTTTTCACTTTGACATTTTATCAAACACTTGGTGAATATACTAATAACCCAATTTCAACATAACCCATTTCCCTGAACCACCCATCAATGAAAATCTCTTATTTAGCATATCAAATTCTCATTAAAAAAAATTAACATCAATCAATTAAACCCTAAAAGAACAAAAAAAAGTTGACATAAAGACAGAGCGAGAGAGATCAGAAATAGATGGAGAGAGAGAGAGAGAGACGCGCACACACATACCAGAAACACACATACCAGAAAGACAGAGCAAGAGAGATCAGAAATAGAAGCCCATGACTTATCAGGAGCCGCATTGTCTACAGTTGAAACCACATTCAACTCAGGATTCAGGGCCAGAGGATTTTGGCCTCTGCCTCCCCTTCCTCCACGACCACCTGACCCAGATCGACCTCTAATAGGTGTGTAAACCTTCGAATCAGCCATACCACCACCAACTCCATGAGAATGGACACTCCCAGCCATCAGAAGGGCATCAAGCTTCGATACCAGATTTCTCGCCCTAGCAAGAAAGAGGTTGTCTGGGATATACTTATTCGCGATCTACAACAACTTCCTCACTCCCCTCCATTTCTACGTTGTCTGACCACCGAGATTGGAGAAGATTTAGGGCAGAAGCTGTTAGGGTTGAAGTTTCCTCTTGGATAAGATCACATGGGATCAGATTCTCCCGATCCACACCAGACATGGAAGCCTTCATACGATTAAGCTCCTCTCTTAACTCTTCAAAGGGCTTCGACTGAGTAACTCGCCGAAATGGATCCCCCTGTGCAACCTCCACCGAAGCTAACCCCAACAATGCAACCCCTTTCTCTCTTTCATTCATCGCCATAATATCACTCGTCAACCCATCCATAGATTCCACAAAGGAAGAAGGGTTCAAATCGGCCTCACATACACAAAGGCTACTCACTGGTTCTAAATTTTTTTAATTTTTTTTTTCTGTTTCCCAGGAACAAAACGACGTCGTTTTTTGATTGGCGACCAAATTTTTTTTGTCGCCAACCTAACCCATTTCCCCCCTCTATGTTTCAAATTTCCCTCCACAAACTTTTGGCGACCAAAAGATCAAATTAGTCGCAGAAAAAGTACCTACGCCGACAAACTTTTTTAGTCGCCAAATCTTAATCAACGGGGACTAAAATATTAGTCGCTAAAAATACAAATTTGGCGACTAATTTTTTTTGGTTGCTGAAAATAAGTTTTTGGTGACCAAATTTTTGGTCACCAAAAAATATGTGACCTTCCGCGACCAAATTTGTAGTTGGTCAGCAAAAGTATACCACTTTCTGCGACCAACTCATTTTTGGTCGCCAAAATATAACCTTTTGCGACCAATAATATTTGGTCGCCAAAAATAATGATCTCCAAGACCTTGGACGAAGGCACACATAGGCCAAAGGGGGCCATGGCCACCCCAACCGTTGATGCATAGAATTTCCCCCTCCCCTCCTCCTTTCAAGCAGAGTAGCAACCAACATGCACTAATTTGCTTCTTTTTCTCTTCGCATTCTTTTTTTCTCTAAAAAGAAAATGGGATTATTTTATTTTATTTTACTTTCCTTTTTCAATCTTTCATTGTGTCTCTTTCATTTCATTTTGCCTGCATTACTTCTAGGGGATTCTAAATAAAAAGGGGAAAAAAACTTACACGTAAGGAACCACATGGGCTCACAAAAAAGCCTCTCCTCTTTGGCTCTTTCATTCACAGACCATATCTGACATCTACATCCTGTTAGAATAATATATTGTTATTTGGGTTCTTATTTTGTTATTATTCTATGCCTTAGGGCTCCTTTGTAATTATTAAATTCATTAATATAAATAGGGGATGATATCCTAATCATTTCCTAATCTAGTATTCTCTAAAAATAACATGGTATCAGAGCCTAACCCTAAAACCTAAATTCCTCTACCCATACAGTACCCACCGGAGCCACAATAGAGACACCACACAGTCATCTTCCAACATCACACCCACTCCACAATCATCTTCCATAGGACCATCGTCACTCCACAGTCGTCTTCCATCGTCACTCGTCGACGAAGCTAAGGCCAGGAGGCCTGACGACAGTGGACTTCTGGGCTGGAAGTGTATCTCGCTGACAAAGCTAAGGCCAGGAGGCCTGACGGTAGTAGCCGACTGGGCTGGAAGAGCCCTAGGCAGCCCTGACTGGTGTGTCTGTCCCTGTTGCCTTCGACTGGTGGGTCTGTCCCTGTCGTTTATCGCCTGTCTGTCGTCTTCGTGAAGATGTATCACTGAGTTCTCTTTGTGACTTGTTCGTTACTTGGAAGCTCTATTTGTGGCCTGTAACTCACCTCTGCCTTGTTTTTCTTTAATTAATTAATTTATTTATTTGTCTTTTCAAAAAAAAAAGTAAAGAAGGAAAAAAATGCAATAGAGGAAAAAAAAAAAAAAAGGGTTGATGAGGTTTTTAAGTCTTTAATTTTCTTAGTGGTCATTGTGTTTGTATTCCTCCACTTTCCGGATTTGTGATTGGTACTAGTTTTGTTGAGGTTTTAGTAGTATAATATCTATTGCATATTCCACCAGTATGTCCACTACTTCTCAGACACCTTGGAGTGAGAGTTTCCCTATATCTACTACTATGATTGAAAACCCCAACCCTAGTCCTAAAATTACTACCTCTCTATTTAATGGTCAGAATTATCTCGCGTGGTCGTAGAGTTTGACTATGTTTTTGAAGAGCAGAGGAAAGATATGGTAAGTGGATGGCAGGATACAGGAACCCAACACAATTGACCCTGGTTATGACCAATGGGAGATTACAAACTCTTTGATTATAGGTTGGCTTATTCATTCGATGGTACCAGACATTAGCGAGGGCTACTTATGTATGGAGACTGCCCAGGATGTTTGGGATACTGTGGCTACCACCTATTCCCACAAAGGGAATTTCTCACAAGCATTTGAGTTACGCCGCTCTATTGAGAGCTCTGTTCAGGGGGAGCAGATGGTTCTTCAGTACTTCACCTTCCTCACCAATGATTGGAAAGGCCTTAATCACCTGCAGGACTATAAGCCTGTTTGCACGGCTGATTCAGTCGGATACAGGAAGTTCATTGCACAGGAAAGAGTCTTCATGTTTCTGGCCGGTCTCAATGTGGAGTACGATCCAGTTCGGAGTCGGGTTCTGAGTATGGACACTCTTCCTTCACTTTAGGAGGCTTTTGCCTATGTACAAAATGAGGAGAGTCGCCGGTCTGCTATGATGTCCCCCATCTCTACTTTAGGAGGCTTTTGCCTATGTACAAAACCATTTTCAAACAAACAAACATGAAATGTTTTGTTCCAATTCAGACGATCCAGTCTATACTTGTATGCTGTGCGCATCACATAGTAAATCTAGGCTAATAACCGGAATAAGAACACATAAAGTTTTCAAAACTAGATATCATGGTTAGTAGAGGCCGATCTTTGATCGGGCGAGCAGGGGTGCTCACGAAGTGACCTTCCCCAATCGTACCCAAGTTCCCGAGCCGAGGCAACTTTGGTGATGACGGACAGTTCGGGCATCAGGCCTGCGGGCACCAGTTTAGTAGTTCGGGCATCAGGCCTGCGGGCACCAGTTTAGTAGTTCGGGCATCAGGCCTGCGGGCACCAGTTTAGTAGTTCGGGCATCAGGCCTGCGGGCACCAGTTTAGTAGTTCGGGCATCAGGCCTGCGGGCACCAGTTTAGTAGTTCGGGCATCAGGCCTGCGGGCACCAGTTTAGTAGTTCGGGCATCAGGCCTGCGGGCACCAGTTTAGTAGTTCGGGCATCAGGCCTGCGGGCACCAGTTTAGTAGTTCGGGCATCAGGCCTGCGGGCACCAGTTTAGTAGTTCGGGCATCAGGCCTGCGGGCACCAGTTTAGTAGTTCGGGCATCAGGCCTGCGGGCACCAGTTTAGTAGTTCGGGCATCAGGCCTGCGGGCACCAGTTTAGTAGTTCGGGCATCAGGCCTGCGGGCACCAGTTTAGTAGTTCGGGCATCAGGCCTGCGGGCACCAGTTTAGTAGTTCGGGCATCAGGCCTGCGGGCACCAGTTTAGTAGTTCGGGCATCAGGCCTGCGGGCACCAGTTTAGTAGTTCGGGCATCAGGCCTGCGGGCACCAGTTCAGCATTTTGGGATTCGGTTTACCAAAGGGTATCAGATTTGAGGCAGAATTTTGGAGGCAGAATTCAGTAGAGGGCACAGTCATCCTGCTACACTTGTATCTGTTTTGGTGAAGTTGAGCTGAGATGCTGCATGTTTTCTCTTTTGCTAGGTAGTCTGGGAACCATAGCTTCAGAAGGCTCCAATATCTCCCGAGGTTCATCGAACTTGTACTGATAAACTTTGTTAGGTCAGAGATTCAGTTCAAGGGCAATCAGTGTTCCTTTGCCAGAGGTAGGGTAAAAGGGCCAGTCAGGCACAAATCACCAGTTCAACAGTTACCAGATCAGTGGCCCTTATCCACCCCACCAATGAACAGTCAGGCTGAGGTTTCAGTTTCTACTGCAGGGATAGATAGTCAGATGGATCAGCAGAACACATTAGGGATGGAGGCAATGATATGCCAGATGCAAGAAAGTATGAAACTCATGCAGCAAGACGCTGCCCGTCAGGCGGAATTTGCCAAACAGCAGGCTGCGATCATGGCCCAGCAAGCTGAGCTAATCACCAGGCTGCAACAGCAAAATGGAGCATCTGCTTCGCATCAGGCTCCTCCCCCACCAGGAGCTCCAGCGCCTGGGGAGACACCAAATGTCTGGGAAGGTACGGACATTTCGATGGGACCGGCTCTGCCCCCAATCCTATCCCAATTATCCAAAACACCCACCAACCAGCCTAATTCTCCCTTTGAGTCCGAGGTGGACCCCACAGCATTGAAGGTGAGCAAGGTTGAAAAGCTATTCAAGAAATCTTAGGGTGCCAAGTCCATCCCGGACATTGAGGATGGGTATACCGATGCGGCCGTGATGCTGCCAGACCGCTTTAAAATGCCACATATCGACCGCTTTGACGGGTCCAGGGATCTCATGGTGCACTTACGACTGTTTTCAGACATACTAAGGCCGATGGGCCTCACCAGGCTGTAGAAACTTTCATTATTCGGCCGGACCCTGTCAGGTGTGGCCGCTATCTGGTATGCAAAATTAGAAGACGATGTCAAACGGAACTGGGATGAGATGGCCGAGGCCTTCGTTACGCAGTACTCCTATAACACGCAAATCGAGGTCACAACCCGTGATCTTGAGACAACAAGGCAAGAGCCTAAGGAGAGTTTTTCTGACTTCGTAACCCGGTGGAGGACTAAGGCCTCAATGATGACCACTAGGCCCACTGACAAAGATCAGATTCGGATGATTGTGCGCAATCTCCAGCCAAAACTGATGCAAAAGATGATTGTACTCCCCTTCCCTACCTTTTCTGATCTGCATGAGATGGGGGTACAGATCGAGGACGCTATGAAGCAGGGCCTTCTTGACCAGGAGGATACAACCCCTTGGGGTAGACTAGACCAATGCCCTTTCACCATGCTTTCCATTATCGAAGGCGGCCTTCGCTTCTTGGTCAATCCTCTAATGTGCGAGTTTCTGAGGCGCATCGGGCTAGCACCAACACAAGTTTCAACCAACACCTATAGAATAATAAACGGGATAGCCGAGCTAAACAACCAGCTGGACCTGAGTCTAGGATTAGCCGAAATTCTACGCCAGTACACCCTCGGGCATACAAGCGATGGACTTAACTACTATTTAAAGATTAGGCTGGGCAAGGAGAAGATTGTAACCGCACCCCA